TTACCCAGCTGGGTAATGAAATTTTTGCAAGAAAACAACCAAGCTCAGAGAAGCCCAAGGACTCCACAGTAAAGACCTTATGGAACTAGAGCAGCAGAGGATAATAGCATTTGAGGAATCAGACTGGGACCTAAAAACTCCAGAATGGAAAAAGGTTTTGACAAAACACTTAGCTGAAGCCTTTCATCTCATTGAAGCAGGGATGGCAAAGTTAGAGGAGCAAGATCCTAATACAGAGAGGTTCACCAAAGTTTACCTTAGAGGTACTGAGGGCCTCAGCTACTACATGGCCATTTATGATGAGAAAAAGAAAAGCTCTGTACAAACCTCCCTTGATGCCTACATCAAGAAACACACTCCACGTAGTAACCCCCCCCCCCCAGCAGCAGAATCAAAGGCTGACTCTCCAGCACCAGGTCCATCCTCTCCAACACCAGGCCCATCATCTTCAACAGTAGCCATCTCTCCATCATCTTCTCCTGCATCATCCAATTATTAACATTATCATAATGTTACCTCATGAATGCCCCTTCCGGTATGCAAGACATTGATGAAACAAGAGTAAGGGTTAACCTTTAATCATGATTTTTTTTCTTTTTTCCCTCTATCTAAACTGTTTTAAGAAATGTTTCTTTAATGTTTTTTACAGTACTGTATACCTACACACACACGCACATACTTTCTCTGTTCAGTACAGTACCACATGTAGTTACTTTCATTATTACTGCACTATTATGTACTGATTTATTATGAATTATTATGTTTATGATATTTTAGTGTATTTGGAATTGGTTTTTAAGTGTTTTATATGCACAGAAAGGTATACACTATATACTAAGACCAACCTTTGACTAACTGATGCTAAATAAGAACCGTATGTACCTGTTCTGACTTACCTACAAATTTGGCTTAAAGACAGACTTAAGAACTGGTCTTGTTTGTAACTTGGGGACTGCCTGTAAACCTCTATCAAACCACCCATGATTTAATACAATGTATGAACATGTAGAGCTGGGTTTGCACAATGCACTAGCTGCTTCTGAATTACAATTATCCAGGGTTAATATAATGATGGTGTATTCCACTGATCTTATTTTCTGGATTCAGAGAGCCAGTTTGGTGTAGAAGTTAAAGGAACCAGAGTAGAAACTGGGGGACTGCGAGTTCTAGTCCTATCTTGGGCATGAAGCCAGCTGGGTGACTCTGGGCCCGTCATTTCTCTCAGCTCTGGGAAGAAGGCAAAGGCAAGCCATTTTCAAAAAATGGTGACAAGAAAGCTGCAGGGATTAGTCCAGGCAGTCACTTGGATCCAAGACTGGCTTGAAGCCACACAAAAAAAGGTAACAATGGTTTACTCAATTTTATTTTCTGAATTCATGTAACACACTAAGCTAAAATATAGTTGCATTACAGGTTGTGATTCAGTGGGTTGTGCAAACATAACCACGGAACCATAAATTAGCCTCACCAAGACTGAGTTTGCACAACCCACCGGATTGCAACTTAGTCTAAGAGGCTAGGCGGCCTCAGCCCATATGACTAGTTATGGCTCAATTCAGAGTCACCAGTGAGAAGTCCAAAAACTAGATTAATTAAGTCAATCCGGTTGGTCCTCCGGGACTTGAATGCACAGTAAGGTCAACGTCCGCGCTGCGTACCGGGAGGCTGGAAAAGCGTGGCCCGGATGCGCCCCTCCCGCACCGGGATTCTCTTCACCCCTTCGCCCAGGAATCTCCGCTCATGGGAGCCCTTGGCCAGGACGCGGTCAGGCAGAGACGCTCCCTGACTTTCTAACACCTCCAGCTCCAGGCGAAAGGGTCGCTCGACGTCGCGCTTGACGAGGCGTCTGAGGGGCTTTTGCGGCTGTAACGACCACAGCAGCCCCATCGGTTCCAAACCCGAGAAGGTCCCGCCCTCGAGCGCCGGCGAGCGGCGCAAATCCAGGCGCCCCTCGCGGTCCGCTCGATAGAAGGCGCGGGACTGGAAGAGCAGCCCGCTCTCGTCTTCCAGCGACGCGCGGAGGGCGATTTCCCGCTGGGGCCGCAGGCCTTCCACCGAGATGGCCAGCGGCTCATCGAAGAGGCTGCAGTCGGGGGGAGAAAAGCTGACGCGAGGCTCCCCACGAGGCGCAGAAACGGAAAAGAGCGCTCGCTGCGGCCGCTGGCTCGGGCCACCCCCGAAACTCATGATCGAAGTTCTTCGCAAGCAGCGACTCAAGAGCAGTCGCAACATACTCTCGTAAGCAAGGGGACACCTGCTGCAACCACGACTCTCAGACTAAACGAATCAGAGCTGCCTCCGCACGTCTGCGCCCTGCAGAGGAGGAGCGGGTGGAGCCTTGGCCCCTTCTGCTTGGGACGAGCCTGGTCTTGCTTCTTCCGTTCGACTCTGACTCCTCCTGTCCCGTTCTGCGGAGCTGATAATTTGGGGATTCAGAGTCCATCCCACCGCTGGTGGCGCTATCATTACGCGCAGGCCAATTCCGATTGTGCAGTACTGAAAGTCTCGTCCAGCCCATGTGCTCTCCAAGGCTATCCACGGACTATCTCTGAGTGCTGCCAGTCATACAAACTGGACTTCCGGGTCCCTCGCTGTCAGCGCTGCCATTCCTGCTTGTTTTCAGTCACTCCCATTTAACCCTGTGCCACCCTCCTTGCCTCTTACAGTACCTGTCAAAAGGGGTATTTTTGAACATAGGTTGGTCGTTTTTCAAAAGAGCACTTGACCCATGTTCAGAAATACCGTGACTGGCAGGCTAAAAATACAAAGGAAGAGTTTTGCTGAGCAGGAGCATTGGAAGAGCTCCCTCTGACTTCGTCTATGCCTGTTACTAAGCTGGCTTGGAAATAATTAAATAGGTACACAAGAATCCAAGAACTTCCGATAATGAATTTTACTACAGGCAAGATAAGAAGCCACGAGAAAGGGATTCCAGTGAGGGTTGTGTATCAAAAGTGACTCCTATATCTAATAAAATCAATGTTAGTTGTTTTGCACTTTTTTCCCACGCACGTGAGATGGCATGGGCAGCCCTCTCTTTTGGGTGGGAGGCCTGGTTCCCATCTGTCTCTTGTCTTGGTAAGGGATAGTCCTGATATCAGGTTATTTTCCCCTGGTAGTATGAAAGCTCACTCAGCCAGGCCAGCTCTGAATACAGGTTTAGCTAGACCCGCGCCCAGAAATAGGCCAAGTAAAAGGTAACATGCTGAGGAGAAGTTGTGAGGAGTATCAGGAGAGCTAACCACTGCTTCACCCTGCTGCCCCCAGTCCCCACCATCTGTGGGGCACTGAGACAATTGACAGGTGATTAAGCTTGCTGTTCTTAGCCGCCTTCTAAATTCATCCACTCTGCCCACTGCGCATTAAGGAGAGACTGATGAGTGTTTTTCCTGACAACAGGTAATACTGGGTGGGAGGTAGCGGCACCAACATTGTGGAATTCCTTCCCTTTGGGTGCATGGCATCTGTCCTCTTTGGCTGCTTATAAAAGAGATTTGAAAACCTGTTTTTATCAACTAGCCTTTCCTTCTTGATTGGCACCTGATGTGCTTTTATTGTTATTTATTATTTTGCTTTGGGAGTATGTTTATTAACTGTTGATTTTATTCATCCATTATTGCCTTGAAAACTACCGTGGGTTGGCTTTCAGGAGTACGTGAGAAGAAATACGACAATAAAATAAATAATTTAATTGCATGAACTCGGCCAGTGTGTACTTGTGCAACAAAGCTTAAAGCCTTGTGCAAGGCTGGAAAGAGAGATTCAGGCTGTCCTGAGTGAGAGTTTTCCAACCAAACTACACGTTATATCAATTTTATAATTTACCGACCGCAGAGGTTTCCAAGGGGGACCCCTCAAAAAAGGCAAGGTGGCAGCTGCAACTGTGCGACTGAAACCTCACCCCTTTTTTACAGGTGTCACAACGCCTGTTAAAAGGTCCCTTTGGCCACACAGTTGTGGCTGCCAGCTTGACTTTTTGGCCCCCTCCCTGCAGATATTCCTGACAAATAGCTCTTGTTTATTTAGCCCTGCTTATTTAACCTATATGCAGAGTACATCATGAGAAATGCCAGGCTGGAAGAATCA